TAGTGCTCGAATCATTCTTTCATCTATTGTTCTAACACACAGTTAGTAGGGTTAGTTATATAACAGTATATAACAGCCGAAATAATATCTGATTAAATAAGATATTTACCACCCCTACTGGGGAAGGCAATAGACATCTTAAAGTATCAGAAATATAAATTCCAAGCTGGTTGGGAATTGAAAAGAATATAAATCCACAACATTAATGTGGCATGCTACCTGGATGAGCATAGAACATAAAATCATAAGAAAAGGGCAAAAGCCCAACTGAGATAAAAACACATGATACCATTTTTTTAATGATAAATATAATTTTACTAGAAACCCCACCATAGAACATTAGAGTCCAGTGGAGGTATGCCTGGAACTATTGCACTGACATGTTCTTAATTGCAACCAGAGATGGGGAAAATCAGAAGCAGTAAATCGATCATGGAAACCTTTTAGAAAGCATTTCACTTTGCAGAACTGATGTTTAGGGATATTATGCCATCATTAAACTGTAAATAAAATAATCATGCCACTGCTCTGCTTCAGTTAAACAACCCTGCGCTTCTACACCATCACTTCTACATGTCCAAACAATTTCCACATGGCCATTTCCACTTTCTCTGAGTCCAATGTGTGGATTGTATCTTTATTTGAATTAAAAGTCTTAAAACTGGCTTACATGTAAACCTAAATTCAGCAGTTACAATAATCATCCCCTGAACCGTTTTATCTATTTCACAAAAAAAGGTTTAAATTATTTGCATTAAGTAAAAAAAAAAAAAATCAGTGAATTAAAGTCTGTGAGGAAACTTAAGCAGGTTTGTTAGAATAATTTATAGATGAGTAAAATCATTGACTGTGGGGATTCATAATGGGAATCAGAGTTAAAGTAGCGAATGTGTTGATGCTCTTACCAGTGCTGTCATCGTAGACCACTGTGACTGTCTTCCATTTGAAGAAGTGGACTAGATCCAGAATGGCCCGGCTGAGGGAGGAAAAATCTGGATACAGGCTCACATAGAAGACGTCTCTGTTGTCGGATACTTGGTGCTTCCATTTGGTCTGAATGTGCGGGACACCGAGAGCATTGCAGATGGACTGGACTGCATTGGCAGAGGAACTGTGAGAGGGACCAAAGATGGCTGCCACCCCAAGAGAAAGCTGGTCACAAGCTATGGAAGGAGAAAGACCAATTAGCCGCTGGCTGTTATGATGCAGAACATTTACTCAGATTAGATTAATTAGCCTCTGGTAGTTTTAGAGGCTTATGAGAGGCAAAAAATAGGATTTATAAAAACAGGCATAAATACAGGCAATGCGCTGACTTTGTGCATTTTAGCTAATATTTATTGAGCTACTAAGTGATGCATGAGAAATGTTTCATGATTTTAGAAACAGGTCCACTCTGGATGCTGATGACCTCCATTCAGGATGTTTTGTTCCAGTACTGTAGAGGTAACTTTGGACTTTAACATAGTGGCAGGCCCAACAATATTTAATCATTTTGTTTTTAATTGTAAAGGAAGATCCAGATGGAAACGGTGATTCTGCCTTTTGTGAAGTTTTCTTTTGAAGTTTTCAGTTACACTTTGATTTATGTCATTCCGTGTTTTCTTGATCATTGGTTTCTTTTCCGTTTTGTGTTATATTAATGCAGTTTTATTTTTTGAGTTACTCTCTGTTGCCCCCTTGTGCCACTCTCCTTTCCTCTCAGCTCCTTCTTTCTAGTGACCTTTAGATCCCGTTGAATCTTCCTGGTTATTTTTTGCTGCCTCCTAGTGTCCATTCCTCTCCCTTTAGCTCCTTCTAGTTACTTCTGTCCACACCTGCTCCCTATTAGCTAATTAGTCCTCCCATTGTTTCTGTCTCCCATATATGCACCTCCTTTGGTTAATTCCTCCCTAGTTTTTTTTGAAGATCAGTTTTGGACTATGGATTTTTTATTTGTAGTTTTTCATTAAATTTTGCAAGCAA